AATATTATGGCAAGATAAAGATTAAATTGCGAAATATTCTTAAACAAAGTGCACTTTGTGTAAGCAACATCCAAAAGAGTCTCCAAATGTAGATTCTTCTATTAAAAATAAAAATAGACTAAAAATCAAAAATAGTTTTTATTATGATTTTTAAAATTGGATTATTTTCCTTCAAATAAACACATTTTCGGATTAGCCCTATAGCTTGCAATTTTGAGGAATTTTAGTGTAAAATTCCAATAATGCCCATTTTTCTGAAATAACTTTAGTTGTCATTCTTCATAATTTATTATAAATTACATTTCATCTTGGATGCTTCTCATTACAAAATGGAAATCTTTATAATGCATGAATACACTTACGGTCCCATGTGGTACGGCACTCGATCTTGGCTGACATGCCGAGAACCGGTTCATAACCGGCTTGTCTGGGTGATCCGGAACTTGTCAACTTGTGCTGGGCAGGTCTATAAATTGCACGTACGTCTATTTCGTAGGTAGCATAAGCATGCAATTGATCCAGTTGTATCCGATGCACCGGGCGTAGGGCCTGACTTGACGATCTTTTGTCCGAGTCCCCTTCAATCGGACTTGCCAGACCCAAATGTCTGGAAGAGGATTGATGAGGCCAACGGACAATGTGGCCTGGCAGAATTGTGGTCTTTGGCAGCCCAGCCTCACTGCGATACTCCTGACTTCCGGTGTAGGTGATCTGCGTGAAAGAATACAAGAGGAAGTCGTCCGTAATGACAAAAAGCAATGTGGTTCATACAATTATTTACAATTTTATTTAAACGTTAATCTTCTCCTTTCATAAAGGGTTAGGAATAATCACAATTTGGGTTCAAATATAGACTTAATATGCCTTTTCTTTCTTTTTATTTTGTCATTGCGCTCAAGTATTATTAACTTTATATCCACATCGTTATAACTCAGTATGAAAAAAATAGAAATGAAGTTTTATATATTTCTATATTGCTAGAAATATACGCGTTAATATTCGTTACTATATCCCGAATAAAATGTCAAAATGTGAATTTTGAATATATAATTTTATTTTATTTTGGATAATCCTTTGTGTTGGAAATTAGCATGTGCATCACAACAACTTTGAAATTAAGTTGCCCTTTAGGCGTAGACTCATGATAATTATGTATCACTGGGCGAGTATAGTAGCATAAAAATACGGAATCTTTGGATGTTAATTTATAAATAATTGTTAACATTTAAGATATTAATTATGATGAGTTGGCAACGCTTTAATGCCGTACAAATGAGAAAGAATAACAACATACATTGCTTGTTAGGAATGCGACTAAAATAATTTTTTTCATTGGATCTTGTGCAAGAGATGCTCAGTTACTTAAGACGGCAATTGTAAAATGTGAAAACAAACTGGCGACCTTCTTAAGCTTGCAATTTTTGCATACAATTCTGGGAAATGCATACAGAAGTGAGAGGAGTCAGAGAGACGTCTGTCAATTTTCTACATTGGCTGTCTTTCTCCCAGATAATTGTTTATAGAAACTATGGACTGTTCCTTCAAATGAAGCATGAGTCATAAATAATCTGGATTTGCTTTTTTTCGGTCAGCCTCCTGCAGTATTGTGTGGAGGATGACCTGGAGAACTGCCCCAGAATGCCGATCGGCGAATATTCTAGTTTCTTTTCGCAATGAAACCCGAGATTCAGATCTCTTTACATTTGATTATGTAAATACACAGAAGCCAACAAAGCCTCCATTTCACGGTGTTATCTGACACAAGATTAGTTGCACTAAAACATAAGTTTCAGATTTATGTAGTAAAAAGAATATGAAAAATAAATGTCGCACCGCTTGGTGATAAAGATGACGAGGTAAAAAATAACATACAATTATCATTTAATAAATACTAAACATTTGGGAAAAGTAGCAAAACTTCGAAAGAGACGCTGAAGATAAATTCATTTTGTACAAAAGCGGTAGAAAAAGAGAGTTCGATTGCTGCATATGATGCAGAAAATGTGGCCATCAATTATTTTAATGATTGTCTGTGTACGGAATGACCAAAAAATGACTTTTGATTTTATGCTGGATGGAAATATCTTTTGGAAAACAAGTATATGTGAGAGCATCATGTCAAGCGAAATAGAGTGAATTGACATCTCAGCCAGTAAATAAGTATCAATTGCTGTAGTGATGCAAGAATATTTAGTCAATTCCAATTTCATT